GTCTTTTTTTTAATCAGTGATTTCAATGGTTTGTGTACCCATGCCATAATAGGAACAGAAGCTGCTCAAAAAATTCCATTAGCAGTGTTTCTCAACCTTGGCGACTTTTAAGTCCTGTGGACTTCAACTCCCAGAATTCCCCAGCCAGCTATGCTGGCTGGGGGATTCTGGGAGTTGAAGTCCATAGGACTTAAAGTCACCAAGGTTGAGAAACACTGCCATTAGTGTCACGATGGTAGTAAGTAAAGTGCTAATTTTGTATGGTCATAACCTTTACTTGAATATGAATATGACCAAGAGAAAATAAACACTGAGATACATACTGTGTGAGCCTTTGTTCTGGAATAGGGCTTTGATAACATCTAGCATTATCATTACCATCAAGAAACTCAATTTACTATCCAGATAACTCCAGTTTTCTAGCCAAACCACCTCTTTTCAAAAGAATAAATAGAGATTCAAATTATTATTCTAACTTCATAAACATCAGCACCTGAAATAGTAAACTGTATCAAGCCTTTACAAGAAACTAGAAAACCAAAAATATACTTTATTTTTCACTGCTATATACTGTAATTCTCTCAGTCAGTTCCTTTTCTTGTGAAATAAGAAAGTTGACTGGGTTTTTTTTTTTAACAGGATTTCTTTCTTGCTCATTAGTCTCAAAACTTCTCTTCAAGATTGTATTCTCAATCCTTGAGTCAAAGTATCTTAAATATGGCTACCATAAGTATGCCTATAATGGTTGTTTCATTGCCTGTTAGAACATAAATGCATCGGGGGGGGGGGAATGTCAGACCATGCTTCCCACAGTATACATTTGATGGAGTTTCAAGAAATAATGTAGCATTTTGCAGAATTGTCATTGGAGATATTTTGAGTCCTTCGGGATTGGGCGGCATATAAATTTATTAAACTTTGAACTTTGGCTAGCCAATAGAGGCAAGACTGCATATAGTCCATGAAAAGGTTTGCTTACCTATAGTATATGTTTCCTCATGGTCATTTGCAATCATGCAACTTGTCGTTCTTTTCTGCTGCAACAATTTTGTGTACTTGAAGAAAAGCTGTGCATCATAATTGGAAAGAAATTGTATATGAAGTTGTTATCCTTTTTAAAAAATAAAGTCACATGCAGACTTTCCTTTTAAGCGGAGCAAAAAGTGTCTGCTCCTGGATTAGAATGTGCAATAATATCTTTGGATACATACAAATCATAAGTTAAAAAGCAGGAATATGAACTCTTACCAGGATCAGAATACATTATGGGGTTCAGAATTTATTTTCAGGACCTAATTAAAGACTGCATAACATCAGTATTGATTTTTTTCCCCCTGAATAAAAGGCATCTATGTTACTTAAGATTGCTTTTCAATTATGGGAATTACAAAAGCCTTTTTGTATGTTGGATTTTGGTTGTCTGGGGTGAGAAAACTAAAAAAAAAATCTACTCGGCACATACAAGTTTTTTTAGTAAAAAAAAAAAGGGTTTTAGAATCTTGCCCATGTATTATATATATTGTGACAATTTTGTGCAGTCCAACGGTTTTTACCTTTTGATATTAGATTGTATTTTTTGTTTGTTGGCTGCAATATACAGAGAGTTGGTGCTTGGGTAGCAAGTAAAAATGCAGAAAACCCCAAGTTAATTTGCATATTACTTAGTGGTGTTTAGCAGTAATTTTGCTGTTATGACATCTTTTCTAGATTCAAATTTAGACATTACAATTGGAAATGACACATGTGGAGAAACCTCTTCAGAGAGTTACAGTTCTCCTTCTAGTCCACGGCATGATGGAAGGGAAAGTTTTGAAAGTGAAGAAGAAAAAGACAGAGGTTGTATTTTTGTATTTAAAATAAGAACATATAGAATCACTTTAGTATGCTGCTTCTTTAATTTGGTTTTGTGTCCCCAAGTAACAGCCATCAGGAATAGACTTTAACAATTTCATTGATGAAAGTTTACAGCATACAGTTATATACAGTAAGTTATAGATGAGAATGCAAGAATCTGTATTCTATACATAGGATGAGAATTACATGTGAATCATCCTTCCCTCTCCCTTGTCATTGTAAAAAAATAGCTTTGATAAAACAAGACATATTTAGAGAAGTTCTTATACATTGTAACAAATCTTGCAAAATGCCCAAATTTAATCTTGACTTTTATCTGTGGAACCATGTTCATGGTGTCATCAAAACCTTTTGATCACAGAGCATGCGGTTGCTGTTCTGTATAGCTGCATCTTTTACATCTGCTTCTTAAATCAATCTATTTCTTCCCTTGATGTTGTTGAAAAAAGAAAAGGGGGGAAGGTAAACTTAAATTTATGCTATAATTGTAATCTTTATGAAAAGTAGGCTTTTAGATTTGTTAAACATCTGCTTTATTTTTCCAAAAGTATGTAATCATTTTTAATGATTATTTTTCATATATATATATATATGTATTTTTCATATATATATATATTAAAAAAACATACATAACTAATTTTAAGCTTTCCCATTGGGAAGTTAATAAATTACAGGTGGATAAGGCTACTAATCAAGATAACTATTCCTTACAGTAACAGCATCAGAATGGCTTTCAGCACCAGCTATGGGATGTGAGTGGAAATGAGGATGATGTAATCAAATCCTGCTTATAGTCTACTGCATGGGTGTCAAACTCGTGGCGTCCTATTGCCATCGCGTGGCATTTCATGACTTTTTTTCCCTTTGCGGTGCTAGGGTGGGCGTGGCCTGCACATGACGCATTTGGCCTGTGGACCGCCAGTTTGACACCCCTGGTCTACTGAGAAGCATGAGCTTTGCTGTAATGAGAACAGACAGGCTTTTAGTGTGACACAGCCTAACCATTTTAAACAATTGTTACAGAAGAAATATGTCTATTCATGATTTTCAGGTTTAGAAAGCCATGCTTATTGCACAAAAGCTGGTTTTGTGCATGAATTAAGCCATATTTCTTGTAATTAATTGTTTTAGCAACTAAATTGGTGGGATTAAATTGGTCATATTAAGCTAAAAGCTTAGGGATATTGAAAATGTTTCAGAACTGAAGTGCTCCATTTTAAGTTTAAGGAAAAAAATTGGGAAAAGAGCAGTTTCAAGCTTGAAATGTTTTTAAGCAAATTGAAACAGCTCACTATGAATGCAAACCAGTTGATTCAAAGAATTGTTTTGATCTCAGAATGGAAGCATTTTGAATTCAAAAATATCTAAGCCTGAAACATTTTGCATCTGATTGTTATTAAACTACCTCATGTTAAACTATTATCATTTCCCAAAGCGAAATCAAGTAAGATGAATAGCCTATTTAGAATGCAGTTAGTAAACTTTTCTCAGCATTGAAAATGTATCTTTTCCATATATCTGTTAAAGATGTTGTTTCAAATACACAATTTTCATATAATTGTTCTCTAACATATTGTTTCCTTAAAAAAATAACAGTAATTTGAAATACCAGGTTAATTGGTCACTTGTAAATGACACCTTTTGGATCAATGCAGGCTTTTACAACTATTTATGATTATTATGTTTCATTTTAATTACTATAAAAATTGCACTTTCAAAAATAATGTTTTTGCCTTGGGAACATTGTTTTTCTAGAAATCTGAATAGCTTTTTAATGCCTTTTCCACAGACACAGACAGCAATTCTGAAGATTCTGGGAACCAGACTGTGCTGCGGTTTACTGAATATGGTGCTACGGACTTCAATAAGGCACTGACACAAATGTCAGTGACATCAAACAATAAAAACACTGTGGAGGATCCTTTGAGTTCACAGTTTCAACACATTTCATTTATGCCTGCCCTGCACTGTGTCGTGCTCAATAGTGCACAGAAGCCCGAAACTGTAGTGCCACCACCGATATCTGCTGATGGGAAAACTTTGGGAATGGTAGTTGCTAATTCCGCTCCGGTTGGAATGGGATCTTCGGTTGAATCCGAGAAACACATCGAACTTATGTCTTCCCCTTTGCCGGCCACCTTTTTCCCATCCACGGTCCAGCCTGGTAGCCCTGCATTGCAGTTAGGGATGCACAGAATGAAAATATCTTCCCCGCAGGCATCTGAAAATTGTGGAGTTAACGTACCCCAGCAACAAACTGGAAGCTTAAATATTGGATCACCAAACACTGCCTTTATTCCAGTCCACAGTCCAGGTAATTTTACAGGAACTCCTCTTCCAACAGCAGATCCAGTCCCAAAATCTGTATCGCACGTGATGGGCTTAAATCAAATGGTGCCTCATGTTGACGGAAACACAGGAGTCATCCCTCAGCCTCCGAATCTGAAAGTAGTGGTTCCTGCAACTGGGCTCTCCACAGCACTTCCACCAGCTCCTTTTACCGTACCGGTAACTCTTCACGCTACCAACGTTTTGCCTAATCAAAGTACGACAGTGCTGAATACTGTGGCATCCACACCACCAGCTCCAACCACAGGCCTTTGTGTTAGTCAAGTGCAGCCCACTATCCCTCCTGCAATACCGACCCACACTCCTGGTCCGGCACCTAGCCCGAGCCCAGCTTTGACACACAGCACCGCCCAGAGCGACAGCACCTCCTACATTAACGCCGTTGGGAATACTAACGCAAACGGGACCCTGTTGTCCCCGCAGCAGCAGCAGCAGCAGCAGTTGGGGCCTTGCGGCTCGTGCGGCCGTAGGTGTAGTTGCGGCGCCAACGGAAACAACCTCCAGATCAACAGCTACTTTTACCCCAATCAAATCCAAGGTCAAGTCTACAGAGTCTCACCTTTCTTCCACCTGCCCTTTTGCAATGGGAGCTACCTCAGCCAAGGACATCAGGCCAACGGGACGCAGATCCCGTATTTCTTCTCTCGGGGGCCCTACTCAATGCACGAGCCCGTGATGGGGAGCCAAATCAACTATGGTGTGCAGCAAATGGCAGGATACCGGGGGTTTTATCCTGTGTACCAAGCTTCAAATGTAGTTGCCAGTTCTAATGGATCAGGTCCCAAGAAGACTGGGAATGTGTCCTGTTATAATTGTGGTGTTACTGGGCACTATGCACAGGATTGTAAGCAGTCATCCATGGAAGCCAATCAACAAGGTAATCACAACACCCAACACAGTTGCTTCTGAGCCCACACGGTTTTTGTTACTGGCCATGTCATTCTCATTTTTGCTCTCTATGGTTTGTATGTCTGTGTATGCATGTACGGCTGACTGTTAACAGCGGTGGGCAACCTCCAGCCACTTTGCTGTAAATTCAGCAGAAGAGACAACTGCAGGTCCCTTTCTGCTGTTTCATGGGTTGTTTTGATGTTTTAAGCCTTAGGATAGGCATAAGACATTAAGATTAACTGCACCCCTGGGAAAAAAGTGAAAAAATTGTCAAGGAGGGGAAACCTGGCAAATTGTGTCTCTGCCACATGTCCTGAAAATAAATAGTATAATCCCTAGGCACAAAAAAAAAATCTAACGGGAGGAATATAAAACCACTACGTACTCTCTTATGTCTTGGGTCCAAGTAACTAATTGGAATTGGTTCAGAATTACATTGCCTCAACAATAAATGTATTGGAATTCATGGATAGCTAAGCATCATTTCGGTTAACCTGTTCACTGATAACCATAATGAAAAGCAAACTAAAACTTAATTGCATTTGTCTAGTTGCTAACAATTACGATGCCAAAATTTCATAGGCACATTCGGAGCAGTCAGGCAAAAACGTCCTAGCTTTTAAAAGTAAGTCACATTTGTTATACGTTATAAGCTTATTTTTTAAAAAGAGCATATTTTTATATTAATGCCTAGGTAGATTTTGTTTTCTCTTCCCTACAAATGTGACTGACCAGAGATATTTTCAGAAAAAGAAAATTATGTTAAATGCGTAGGTGTGAATTAAACCATTAAAAAAAACCGTTATTAATTTTATACTTTAATTCTTTATATTTGTAATTATAAAGTATATCCGTTTTCATATTTATTATTATTATTATTATTATTATTATTATTTTGTTTCTGTTGATACTTGACTACTAAAGACCTATTTTGTAAGCTGATATCTGGAAGATATAGTTGCTAGAATAGTCCCCGTTGCACAGTTAAGTCCATTCAAGGATTTTAAAAGTTATAAGCTCGTTTGGATGTCATGCTGAGTCAAGATAGCTTTCC